AACAAGGTGTAGAGCTGGATGAACACAGCAGGCCAAGCAGCATCAGAGGAGCGGGAAAGCTGACGTTTCGGGCCTAGACCCTTCTTCGGTCCCGAAACGTCAGCTTTCCTGCTCCTCTGCTGCTTGGCCTGCTGTGTTCATCCAGCTCTACACCTTGTTATCTCAGATTCTCCAGCATCTGCAGTTCCTGCTATCTCTGGACACAAGTTGGTGCAAGTTCTGACCTGGTTTGACCTATTTCTTCTGTAAATGATTTTTTCTCTTCTGCAATTCTCTAAAACTGTATATTAGACTATCTTCAAAAGTCCATTGTTTTACCTCTTTGGCTTGGTATCTGGGATGCCTCTTAACATATTTCATAAAAGCAATGCAATTGCATTCATAATGCAATAAATAGACCATGAATACATATTCAGAGTTATGCCAATGAACCAGTGATACATAAACAATATTTACATTCTAAACTGCAATTAACAAGAGCAAAATACAGTACATTCTGGAAATCTAAGAACAAAATGAAGCTGGAAAATTTCAGGCCATAGAGCATATATGGAGAGAAACAGTTAACAGATCATTTCTCATCGCAATTTATGGTACAATTGACCAAAAATGCGGACAGTTTGGATCCTAAATTATTCCTTTTAGTAATAAAATTACAATCAGAATTTAGCAGTACAATCAAAATTATGCTGTAACCATGTTATTCAAATTGACCTTTTCTTGCCTTTTAATGCTAAACTGGACATTCTTTGGAAAAACTTGATTATTCTAACTTTTTTAATTTTTGTTTAATTATTTTGAATTGCTCTAATTCCTTTTTTTCTAGAAATGTCTTGCTTCAAAGAAAATGAAATCCCTAATCATTGTGCATCATCCTTTATTTAAATCCAGTCTAATTATTGCAAGCTGTAATCTCCCAAATACAACACTGTAAATGTTGTACATTAGAAGATAAGGTATTCAAACAGAATCCAAATCCATAGTTGTAATGAAAGCTTTATTTTAGTTAACCACACTTCTCCACTGATTCCTTGCTCCCCATTTTATACAACAAATTCACACCCAATTAGCTGTTAATTAATATATCCATCACCTAATCCTCATTCTATTACAAAAACAGAAGTTGCTGGAAAGGCTCAGCAGATCTGGGAGCATCTGTGAAGGGAAATCAGAGTTCATGTTTTGGGTTCAGCGACTGTTCCTCATTCTGTTAGGTCTCAGGCATTCCTTCAGACCATTTTAGATGATAACACTGTTCTCAGGTTCATTGAGGTAACATCCTTGGGACCAAGCAACTTCCGTCCTTCATCAATGGTCTTCCCTTCATCATAAGGTCAGAGTTGAAATGTTCACTGAAACAATCTGTATCCATATGCACTAAGACAAAGACAACATCCAGGCTTGGGCTAATAAGTGGGAAGTAATATTCACGCCACTTTAAAGACGTGTGCTGAAAAAGCGAGGGTGATGTAGGGAAAAGCTTTTAACTCAGTAAATAGTTAGGGTCTGAAATGCTTTGTCTGGAAATGTGATGGAGGCAGGTTGAATTAAGACATTCAAGAGGGTATTGGATGATTGTTTGGAAAGAAATAATGTGCAAGGGTGTGGGGGAAAAACCAAGAAATTGGCACTAAGTAATGATGCTCATTTGAAAAGCTGGTACAGGCATGATGGGCTGAATGGCCTCCTGCACCGTAACAATTCTGTGATTCTGTGAAGTGCCATGCAATGGCCATTTCCAACAAGAGCGAATCTAATTATTGGTTCTTGATGTTGAATGCCATTACCAGCTCTGAATCCCCACCATCAAAATGCTGGGGATTATCATTGATTGGAAAGTGAACTGGACCAACAAACAATAAAAATACTGTGGCAACAAGAGCAATAAGAGGCTAGGAATTCTTCAGTGAGCAAAATGCTTTCTGTCGCTGCAATGCTTGTCCACCATCTGAAATAATCTTCACTTATCTGAATGAGTACAGTTCCAACAACATTCCGGAAGCTCGACACTATCCATAGCTGTACATCCTGCTTGCTTGGCATTCCATCCGCCACCGTCAACATTCACTCCCTTCAGCACTGGTGCAGAATAACATCATATGCAAGATGAGCTACAGCAAATCACTGAGGCTTCTTCAGCATCCACTTCAAAAGACACAACGACTACCATCTGGAAGGACAAGGCAGCAGATATGTGGGAGCACCACCAACTGCCAGTTCCCCTTCAAATCACACATCATTCTGACTTGGAACTATATCTTTGTTCCTTCCCCATGTCTGCGTCAAAATCCTGTAGTCCCTTCCTAACAGCACGGTGGGTGAACTTACATCCCAAGAAGGCAGCTCAGCACCATCACCTCCAGGGTAATTAGGAATGGACAATAAGTGCTGAACTTGGCAGTCACACCCACATCTCATGAATGGATAACAAAAAATTAGAACACAATCCAGCAGTTAACTCTTTTCTAACCAAAGGTCTGTCCAAACAGAAGTAAAGTGCCTAACTTTCAAATGTAAGGAAAGATATACAGTATACAATAATTTCTTGGAGGACTTAACCTGCTTGACAATAGCAACCACATTTCAATATTAGTTCATTGTCCCTGAAAGGCTTTGGGGAAATCCTGAGGTTATGAAAGTCTTTTTCCTTAATAGCCATGCTTCATAATTGCTTAAGTGGCATGGGTCTGGTGTATGTTCTTCCATTATTTAGGGCAATGCTGGTTGATCCAGAGACACTTACATCCTGTTTAAAAGTGAGCAAAATACAAATGACTTTTGTCAATTCCAGCGACTAATTACAGCAATGTGGTTTTTGTTTAATTCTGTGCCATGTTGCACTAATGTGTATAAGTAAGGTTGTGTTTGATTCATTGGGGCCAATTTATGGGAATAGCCATGATACTGTACATGAGAGAAATGTCTAGTGAAGCTCTAAGTTCTATTTGCATTAACAAGGAAACTCGTGTTTTGGATAAAGGTGGCTGCGGAATCATCTAAAAAACAAAGAACTGGAAAGAATTCTGTAGGACTGAAGAAAGCAAAGACTGTCAGAGCAATCTCTCGGGAGGCTTTAGACGATTACACACCAAGAAGTCTTCTAAAGAAATTCATGCAAACTGGTGAGTTGCAACAGAATCTTACAGTTCTTTAGTTACCTGCACAATATAGGGATCCTTTGCTTAAATACATTAAAGTAAAAAAGAAGTCAAGATTTAGAAATTTTTTTACAGAGTTGTAAATTGAAAAGTTTGTAATCTGGGTAGAATATAATAGAAAGTAGCTGTGCATTTCCACAGGCACAGTTGACCTTCAGCACCTAACCCAAGTGGTAGTTAGTGTGTGAGCCAAAACAATAAATATGAAAAAACAAATAAACTGTTGGAATATCATAGACAAATATTATCTTGTTCTGTCTTGATATCCGGACATATGCCATTTATGGAAAGGCTATTAGTTAGGATAAGAAGACTATCATTATGCCACAAGAGCCCGCTGATTAAATCAACATAACTGTTGGAGGTGACCTTGAATCACTTAACATTACACGCTCAAAGTTCTTTGTGTTATGTTAAAAGGATTAAGATTATAAATTCTTGAACAAATGTTCTGCTTTCTTAACAGAGCTGGAATCTTCCCTGGTTAAAGTAGTGAATCCTGAAAAGGAAAAGTCTGTGCAAAAGAAATCTCAACCCAAGACAAAATTGTCATCTGGCAGGTATATAAATGAACAAAATATGAATGCATAGATCTTACTCCTCATGTATGATCAGACAGTGAAATCCACTTGGACTACAGCTGTTCAAGAAGGAAGTTCACTACCACTTTCTCGAGAGCAATTAAAGACAGACAGTAAATGCTGACCTAGTCAGTGAGGCGCACCTCCAATGAAAGAATAAAGAAAAATTCCAGAGTGTCAGCTGTGGTTCAGTTCATAGGCACCATTGTTTTGAATCAGAAGGGCTACAGATTCAATTTCGACTGCAGGAGTATTGTTTCAGCCCGAGGTAGTGAAGCACCATTGGAGATGTGGTCTATCAGATGATACTTTAAACTTAGGCTCTATTTGCTGTCCAAGGATAGCATATTGTTCTCAGCAGGGATTTGCTGTGTACAGATTGTCTCCATATTTCCTACCTTACAATAGTGACTAACTACACTTCAACAGTATTTCATTGCCTCTGAAGTACTTCGGAGCATCCTGTGGTCATGAAAAGTGCTATGTAAATGGACTTTATCCCCACAGAATAAAGATTTGAATAAGATTAGAATAATGATAGATAGGCATTATTTATTGGATGAGGATTTAGCAAATGGGGAGAAATTTCTTCTCTGAGGGTTGTGAATCAGTGGAATTTTTTTACCACACTGGGCTGTTGAGGCTGCTACATGAAGTGTATTCAAGGCTGAGATTAATAGATTTTTAAACTGTCAGGGAATCAAAGGTCATGGGGAGAGGCAGGAAAATGAAATTGAAGATTATCAGATCAGCCATGATTTCTTTGAATGGCAGAATAGATTCGATGGCTGAATAGCTTAGTCCCGCTTCTCTGTCATATGTTCTTATTTAGGAGCTTCTCATTCATAAATGATGTTGTTGTTTGTTTTTACAAGCTATTTGATTGTCTGATGCACCACAGGCAAGCCTAATGCTGCCTTCACCTGGTTGCATGTTCCTACTTTTGTAATAAGAGTTGCTGGAAATGGATAAGGAAAATCTTTAAAAAAACCCTGGGTGATTCCGAACATACATTTACACTTGAATTGCTGAAGAGGAATGTAGCCCCCTTATCACCACCCTGGATAATCATAGGCTGAACCTCATTGTGTAGACAGCTCAATTTGACAGAAGTTAATTTACACTGTCAAACAAGCATTAAGCGAGCTTGACAGCCATTTTTATCAGAAAATTTAAAATTTGCTTTGAAAGATTAAAAATTTGTACAGAATCGTCTGTTGGAACATTTGCTTAAATTATTCCTTTATTCTCACTAATGACAACTTTGGTTTAAGTTTGTCTGCAGAAGATACCACAGAGCCGAATTTGCCTGCAGACCGTAAAATTCGAAAACAGGAGTTAAGTGTTTCGGAGTTCGAAAAGGCAACACAAAAGAGACTCCAACAAACAGCAGGTACATGTGACTTACCCTGATGAATCAATTATTTGAGAAATTGTTAGGTCAAGGATTTTTCCTGTTGAGAAACATTACAGTGCAGATGAGGCCATCTAGCCTGTCAAATCTGATTCTCTTGAGAACAGTTCAATCTGTTCCATTGCCTCACTGTCCCCATAGCTCTGCAGGTTTATTCCATTAAGGATTATCCAATTTCCTTTTGAAATCATTGACTTCTTCCACTTCCACATTCTTAATGCAGGGAGATGCGGGTCATTACCACCTGCTGCATAAAAATGTTTTTCCTTGCATTCACCTGTACTTGCTGACCAAAACGTTTCTGTGTTTGCCTATCTAAATTATTTCCTAATCTTGTACATTTCAAATAAATCTCCCCTCAGTCTCCTTCACTTCAGAAAATAACTTCAGCTTCTTCAGCTTGGTGTAAAAATTCCTCATCCTTGAAAGGTATGAACATATGAAATAGCAGCAAAATTGGCTACTTGGCCCCTCGAACCTCTTCTGCTATTTGATAAGAGGATTGTTTGAATTTTCTGATTGTGTTTGAATTTTGGACTGCACATTCCTATCTACCCCCAATAACCTTAGTTCCCTTGTCTCTCAAAAATTTATTTACTTCTGACTTCAAAATATTCTGTGACCCTATTTCCACAGCATGCTGAGGCAGAGAGTTCCAAAATTGACAATTCTTTGAGAGAAAAAGGTTCTTCTTATCCCTATCTTAACCCCTAAAAGGGAAACCCCTGTGTTTTAAAACAGTGCCCCCTAGTTCTGGACTCACCCACAAGAGTAAACATCCTTTCCACAACCATTCAGGATCTTATGCACCAATAAAATTACCCCTCACCTTCTAAACCCTTGTAGAAATAACCCCAGTTTGTCCAACCTCTCCTCATAAGACAACGCATTCATACCAGGTATCAATCTAGTTAATGTCCTCCAAACCACCACCAATGCATTTAGATCCTTTACATAAAGAGATCAAACAAAACCACACTCAGTAATTGAGATGTGTTGGTCCCGATATAACTGAAATATGACATTCTTACCTTTTATGTTCAATTCCTCTCGATAAAAAAGGATTGCATTTCATTGGCACTCTTGATTACGTGCATTTTGCCATTTTGATAAATCTCTGCATGTCTCTGGGACCTTCACATTTTTTATAAAGAGTATTTGTAAAAGGTGAACTTTCTGGTTAGATCGACAGTGTGATATTTCCAAACTTTAGTGCTATATAAAGTAATGGTTTTAAAGGTTTAATGTCTACGTAACTTTGGCACCTCTCATTCTCCTGAAGATGCTTTCAGTCTGTAGGTGGAGACGAGGAGTTATATTTTGGCTTTTGGAGGGACCAGTTCTATAACAGCACCCTAAGGTCCTAGTAATTGTGCCTGACCAAATTTATTTATATTTGTGTTATCATGCAATAAACTTCTTATAAAAGAACAATGCCGCTTCTGTAGATACTCTGTGATGTATCCTCTGCCACTAATCATGGTACAGGTCCAAGACAAAGCAAAGATACAGGAGGAATGGTAGCAGTGAACTACCTCAAAAAACTTTTGCCCAGTATCACATACTGGAACAGGTGGTAAGTAACATGCTGCCACCAGTAGTTACCTGGGAAAATACCATGTGGTTACAATGGTGCGAATCTCACCCCATACTATGAAGATAAGTCATCCAAAGACCCAGAAGAAAAGCAAAAAATTCAAGCAAGGAAGCTTACAACTTTAAAAGCGTTACCACTTTAAGATGTGGAGGTGCCAGTGTTGGACTGGGGTGGACAAAGTCAGAAGTCATGCGACACCTGGTATAGTCCAACAGGTTTATTTGAAATCATGTTTTCGAAGCACTGCTCCTTCATCAGGTGAAGTGGAGGAAGGTGCACAGGCACAGAATTTAAAGGCAGAGAGGTAATTGACAGTGTCAAACATAGTACAAATGGTGTGATTAGAGTGTTGAAAAGCTGAATAACAAGTCTTTGCAGGGGATCAAAAGTGTCAAACAGTGTGAGTAAAGTGTCAACAGCTGAATAGCAAATGAAGGGATGACTGATTAATTAAGTCAGAGAGATAATTACAAAAAATCAAAAATAAGATGGTGCTACAGACAAACCAAATGGCTGGTGTAATGTAATAGGCATGAGAGTTGCATGACAATGGTCTAACCAAAGTAACAAGTAAGCCAAAACTGTAGAAACTAATTAATGTAGGGAGATAATAACAACTTATCAAGTAATGGTGTCAAAACAGAACAGTAAGGAGGATTTTGCAAACACAAAACAGTATGGTGGGGGTATGTGTAGCGCGACATGAACCCAAGGTTGAGGCCTTCCTCATGGGTACGGAACTTGGCTATCAGTTTCTGATCGGCGATTCTGTGTTGTTGTGTATCTTGAAGGCCGCCATGGAGGATGCTTAACTGAAGATTGGAGGCTGAATGTTCTTGACTGCTGAATGTTCCCCTGAAGTGTTCCCCGACTGGAAAGGAACACTCCTGCCTGGTGATTGTTGTGTGGTGTCCAGTCATCTGTTGTCACAGCGCTGATATACTATGCTTCAGGGCATCCTTTCCTGCAGCATATGAGGTAGACAACACTGGCTGAGTCACATGAGTACCTGCTGTGTATGGGGTTGGTGTCCCATGTGTGATGGTAGTATCCATGTTGATGATCTGGCAGTGTCTTACAGAGGTTTCCATGGCATGGTTATGTGGTGTTGTGATTACTATTCTCCTGAAGGCAGGGTAGTTTGCTGTGAATGATGGTCTGTTTGCGGTTCAGTGGTTGTTTGAAAGCGAGAAGTGGAGGTAGAGGGATGGCCTTGGCGAGATGTTCATCATCATGTTGAAGGCTGTGATGAATACGGAAATACTGGATGACAAAGGTTACTCTATCATTTGTGTCCTGTGTTTGTATTCTGAAGAGGTCATTGGTTTTTTTGCTGTGGCATGTCGGAACTGGTGATCAGTGAGTTGAACTGTGTGTCTGGAGTCGCATCCAGGCCAGACCAGGTAAGGATGGCAGTTTTCTTCCCTAAAGGACATTAATGAACCAGATAGGTTTTTCCAACAGTCAGCAATGGATTCGTGGTTATCATTAGATTCTTAATTCCAGATATTTATTGAATTCAAATTCCATCATCTGGGTTTCTGGATCAGTCTAGTGATACTTCCACATTAGGTCAGTGCCTCCCCTTTAAGAGTTCAGCTCCCAGGAGGATCTGCTGGCAATTTCATTAATGACCTCTACAGACTAGCAGAAAATTGTACATATGGACCAGTGAAATCAAAATTCATAAGAGGTAGTGTTGTTGGAATTTTTGAGGAAACCTTGTCAGATTTCTTAGTCCAAGGAAGGTTAAACATTCAAGAAAGCTACTACTTAAATTGTGCCAGAAGCAGAAATCAGATGGACTTATGGACAGACCTTGAGAGGAGATAACCATCACAACCTGAAGAGTCAAAAGAGTTTGTTTAGGTTAATAAGGTGTAGACATTCTAGAGAATCATGTGACCAGCCCATTCTGAGAACATGTCAATCATCTGTTGATAAAAAACTAATGTCAAAGCTGCGGGGTTCACAAGGGCCATGTCTAGCCATCACTAATGATGGCTGCATTTGTAAAACTGTAGGTCACTTTCAGAATATCTAGAGTTTCAGAACAGTGGAAGTACTGGTGATCGCAGATGTAGCATGTCCACTGCCATTAGAAAAGATAACTGAATTTGACAAGATACGTTTGTTGGAGAAGATACCCTAAGAGAATTAACCAATCCACACAAGCCAGAAGAATCAGTATTTGCCAAGTAAATGGACATCCTATTGATTTTATGCTTGATAAAGGAGCAACCGTTGCTGTCCTGTCACAGCAGGTTGAAGAAGCAGCAGTTAGACCCTACAGAGATAAGAATAAATGGTGCATGTGAAGTAACTGTCATAAGCATGGGAATACAAGTTACATGACAATGTGACACACACACACACGCACACACACTTCATCAGAAGTGTTCGAGGGGATTGACAACCTCCCAGAAAACAGCCGTCCGTCTGGTCCGTGAACAAACCATTATTATCAGCCAGTCAAGGCAAGAATAAAAAAAAGAATCAAATGAAATTCCTTATAGAAACGTAGAAGATAGGAGTAGGAGGGGGTCATTCAGCCTTTAGAGCATGCTCTGCCATTCTTCACGATCATGGCTGATCGTCCAACTCAATAGCTTAATCCTGTTTTCTCCCCATAATCTTTGATCCCATTTGCCCCTAGTGACCTCTTGAATACATTCAATGTTTTGTCATCAACTACTTCCTGTGGTAATGAATTCCACCGGCTCACCACTCTTTGCGTGAAGAAATGTCTCCTCATCTCCGTCCTAAATCATCTGTCCTGAATCCTCATTCTGTGACCATTAGTTCTGGACACCCCCCTTCAGGAACTTCCTCCCTGCATCTACCCTGTCTAGTCCGTGAGAATTTTATATAAGTCTCTATGAGATGCCCCTCCTCATTCTGCTGAACTCCAGCAAAAACAATCCGAACCTAGTCAATCTCTCCTCGTACATCAGACCCGCCATCCCCAGAATCAACCTGGTGAACCTTTGCTGCACTCCCTCGAGAGCAAGAGTATCCTTCCTCAGAAATGGGTACCAAAATTGCACACAGTATTCCAGGTGCGGTCTCATCAAGGCCCTGTACAACTGCAACAACACATCCCTGCTCCTGTACTTGAAACCTCTCACAATGAAGGCCAACATACCATTTGCCTTCTTTACTGCCTGCTGCACCTACGTGCTTTTTTCCATTATGTTTCCATATGAAAGCTATTTAACATTACTACCAGTCTTGTGAGGTTCTTTTACGTTGACAGTGTTCAATTCTTTGTCACTGATGTTGACTGTTTGGTTTAGAAGACAGAGTGCTGCGTGAATAATAATTTTCAGTGACATACCTGATAGTCTGTAAAAAATGAATTCACCAGACAGACAATTACATTGCTGGCTGAAGACATCCTGTCTGATCAACAACTCAAAGCACTTAAACTACATGTCTCCATGGGAGCCAATCCAGTATCTTCAGATGCACGGCATGGTGGAGAAGAAATCCTGCTAGGTCTAAGCATCCAGGATCTTGCAAAAGAAAGAGACTACCTGTTCCAAATCCATGATCAAAAAATCTAGAATACCACAAGGAAGAAAGAACTTAATTCAACAGGGCACCTGTCTTCCAGGGATGACATTTAGGAGATTAAGGCTCCTGTAGATAAAGTAATGGACCAACAACTTCTCCAAAGTGCAACATCCTCTGCAAAAGATATGAGAGATAAAATATCTTGTAGCAGAGAAATTATCTATGGGTACAAATGAGAGTCAACAGTCCTCGAGCAAGAGACCTTCCACTCTCCAAGGCTAAAGAGAGTGCATTCCGAGGAAAGTTTGAAACATCCAGACTGCCTGCATTTGTTAAGTCAGAAACTTGGGGAAGAGATGGGATATTGTAAACAGAAGGTATAATGAGTTAACTATGGCTGCTGAAAGCTTGGAGTAGGTGCTGTAAATAGTTTTGAAGGTGTTAATGTTCATGTTCCGTTGGCTCCACCTATTCTATTGATGTAACACAATCTAGAGTACTGCTTTAACTTTCATAGAAGATATTTTGTGTTAGCTCTCAAAGATCCTTTTACTTATGCCTGACTAAATGCATTTGTTGCTATCATGCAATAAATGTTATCTAAGAATAGTGCCTCTGGAGTGGTGTATCCTCTGCCATGAAGGGCTGCAGGTTAAAAAGATAAAGAAGAGTGAGTTTGTTTGTTGCCACCAAACCTTCTTTATCCTTGGTCCTGGGCCCAGTGAATAGACACAAGACCAATCAAAGACGAAAGAGGTTGGTGGCAACAAGCAACGTCAAACAACCCCTAACCAGTACCACACAGGGAGGGGTGGTAAATATCACAAGAATGGCAGCAGTGGTCACCTGAGAAGATACTGCATTCAGTTTCTCTGATCCCTTACAAAAATAACGATAATTTAGTCAAGTAATGAACATTGATCTTTTCCTGTCTAGCAACATCCATTTCTGTTTAATTTGTCTTCTATCATTCTAGTTGTTGTATGAAGCAATGATCTTAGTAAGTCAGTTTAATCAGTTATTCTACAACAGACCTAGTCAAGAAAGATGTCAGTGCTGAAAAACTTTGGAACCATAAGTCCAAAGGCATCTGATTGTTCTCTGCTGTTTCTCTTACCCGCCATGCATGCTAGACTGGTATGCCATTTCTCAACTTAGCTCTATACTTTAGATGGAAATGTTATTTTCTGAAGCTCAAATGGATCCATACACAATGCCTCCTTAAGATGTCAATTCCATTGATTCATTACCCGTTTACTGACATGTTTCAGCAGATTTGTTTTGAATTTGAATTTGCCCTTTTCAAGGTCAGGCTGAGCTCTCTTGTACTGCTATTCTCGACCGAGTGAAATAGCTTTTTATTCTTTGTTAGCTAGTGATTTTTTAAAATCCTTTATGAACATTTTTCAACTTTCTCTTTCAGGAAAAATAAACCTTTGTTATTTATTATCATCAAATCAGTGGCTTTCCATCCCTACAATTCTTCTGGTTACCCTATCTGTATCCCGTCAATACCTGCAACATCCTTTATCTGCTTCACAACTTGAATTGTACACTGTATTCTAAGAATGGCAGCATCAATCATTCATCAAGTGCAGATTCTGGCTCGGTGTTGATATTTCAATACATTCCAACACTTGATATGTTTTTCACAGTACTGAGTATTGTGGCAATATTTTGAATTTATTGTCAGATCTCTTTAACTTTCCATTTGTTTTAGTTTCTTTCTATTTGCAATGACATTTCAGTGCTAAGTGGACTAGATTTTAAAAAATAATTAGTTTTCATTTTTCTATGTAGCCATTAAAGGTGCACTAATTAACCTACCCTTCATGTCTCTGCTTGAGATAATTAGAAAGACAATTATTCATATTTTTGCTGCCTGTACTTAATCGCATTCTGCACTGGGGGAGATGGCTGGTTTCTTCAGCCTTGAAAATTCTCATCCTTTTGCTCAAATTCCTCCACTGCCTCACTCTCTTCCCTATTTTATGACCATTTGTAGCCTTTCAACCTTCTTCAAAGGTTGAACAGCTTCCACTGTCAGAAGGGTCACCATTCAGAGTGACAGATCTATTGTAATTGACAAATGAAAATGAGAAGTGACATAAGAGAAATGATATTAGGCAGCAAGCTGTTCTGATATGAAATGACTGAAAGGTGGGAGCAAATTTACTAGTAAATTTCAGAAGTGAATTAGTTAAATACTTGAATTGGGAAAAATAATAAGTGGGGCTTTGGAGAAGAGCGGGGGAATAGGACTAGCTTGATAGCTGTCTACATGCCATCAGAAAAGCCTCATGATTTCCACCTCAGTTATGTCAGACAACATTTGTATCTTAGGTCATCCAATCTCAACTGTCATCCGTGCCTTTGTTATCTCTCTCTTTAATCTTGACCATTCCGTCATTCTGCTGGCTGGCTTCCTTTGTATCCTCCATAACCTTCAGATCATCTATAATGTTGCTGTTGGGTTGTAATTCAAAATAAGTCCTGTTCATCCATCACTGCAGTTCTTATAACCTACTTTGGCTCCCAGATGAGCAATGGCTTGTTTTAATTCTGACACTTGTTTTCAAATTCATGTGAGATCTTGCCCATCCCAGTTTTTGTACTGTCTTCATGTCCTGTGAACTTCTGAGAAATCTGTACTCCTCTAATTGTGACTTTGAGTGACTCTGATTTTAATTTTTCTGCCATTGGTAGCCATGCCAACACCTTTTAAAGCTGAAATTTCCTCTATTACGCCCTTCAAAACTTCTTAAGACTTTACCTGTTGGACTGAATTTTTATCATCTACCCTGATGTCTTGTTACTTTGTCCAAAGTACTTTTTACTTCCATTCCTAAGAAGTGTCTTGGGACCTTTTACTAAGTTAAGGGCTAGACAAATACAAATGCAAATTGTTGTAGCTGTTGCAAGCATAATGGCCTCTTTCAGTGTTGTTTCACTCTCTGAATGACTAAATTGTTTATTTTGGTTTTGAGGTCTTGTGGTAAAGGAGTGCGATGAGGAGGCAATGGCCTAATGGCATTGTCACTAGACTATTAATCCGGAAGACCCAGATTTGAATCCCACCATGCAAAAGGTAGAATTTGAATTCAATAAAAAAAAATTGAATTAAGGATCTAATGATCACCATGAAACAACTGTTAATTGTTGGAAGACCCCATCTGGCTCACTGTTCGTCCTTTTAGGGAAAGAAATCTGTCATTCTTACCTGCCACAGCAATGTGATTGACACATGGGCAATAACTGCTGGCTTAGCCAGAGATGCCCACATTCTGTGAGTGGTGCATTTTGACTGGGAAATGTAGCAAAGTTTATATGATGGATGCCAATGGCAGATATCTTGGAAATAATAGTAATGAAAAGCTATTCTGTTTGCATACCTTTTTAAACAACTGTTTTTCACAATCTTTTAAACCATCAATTATTAACTTTCCAAATAACCTGTTCACAATGACTTCTGAGACTTGCATATAACAAATTGTGAGTATTATAAGGTTCCAAATGTTTTTCAGCTTGTAACTGTACTTCAACAAGACAACACATTCTTTAGGAGAATAAGGGGAAAATGTTGGTGAAATGGTTAAGTGTGTTTTATGTGCTAAGATGTCTTTTAATTTCTAGAAACCGAACAATGTGACAAGAGCTCAAGACTTCCAGACGTCTCAACAATAGTTAGGTAATAATTACATATTAAAATTAAATTAATAGTGATTTTATTTGAATGTTATTTCGGCAATGTTATTTATGTTAACACAACATAAAAATCTTGGAAAGTTGCTCAATGAAAATAAACTAAGGAATTCTGCCATTCTCAGGTTTATGTATATTTTTCTGGGTATGATTGGCAAAATTAATATATCAGTTTAAAAAAAAATTCTAAGGACCAGTGGAAAAGGAATTAATCCTCTAGCATTAGTGTTGCTGTGCCTCCTCTCTGGTCCATTCTACATATGATGTAATCATAATTACATACTTCTGCTCCATATTCTGGCACCACCCAGCCTTGATATGGTAGTAAATTCTGGAATTGGGTATTAAAATGTATTAATTTACAGTGTATTTAATTATTGAACCGATTCTATGTCTAGCTTTTAAATACCTATAGCCCTTTTGCTCAATTGCTCAAGTTGCATGTTGAAAGCTGACTATTGTCAAAAATGTAGTTTATGATTGGACAGCATCAAAGATTTGGGACTTGGAAGTTAGATTAAATGCAATTAGTGTTGCTTTAAGTTTTCAGAATGTCGTTTGGCTGGATTGATTACTCCATCTTCAGTTGCCCTGATTTGGTGGGACTGCCGTCTTGAGCTGCTGGCTAGAGTTGATCCAGTTTGGTACCTTGTAAGGCAATATTGTGGTAGTTGGAACTGATAGGCTGGTAGCTTCATGGTCATTCTTACTAGTATTAGCTTTCTATTTCTGGATTTTTAAGTCTGCATTCAAATTCTCAAACTTCAAATGATGGATTTGCTGGGTTTTTGATCCAGGAATTCGTGGACTGATCGCCTACGCACCACACTACTGTGCCACGTTTTAGTTTGAGACTATCTGTACTGTTTTAGATTAATTTACTAAGAGTATAAATAATGGTAACTTCTAGAATGATGCTTGGAGTAGTTAACTCTCAAGTACGTTGTTGCATCAGTTGTGTTTATCAGTACAGGGACATTAAAATATTTACTGCCAGCGACAATGGTTATAGTTGTGGCTCCTTCTATGCACACTTCTGAGAGGAAGAAACTAATTGAATTGTGCTATAAACTCATATTGTGGAAACCCCTGAAGAATTAACCCAGTATGTTTCTACACTGTTTACCCTGTATGTCATAGAATCATAGAATCCATACAGTTGGGCCATTTGGCCCAACAAGTCCATACTGCCCCTCTGAAGAGCATCCCACCCAGACCCATTCCCCTACCCCTGCATTTCTCGTGCCTAACCCAACTAACCTAAATATCCCTGGATACTATAGGCAATTTAGCATAGCCAATCCACCGACCCTGCACATCTTTGGACTGTGGGAGGAAACCGGAGCACCCGGAGGAGAATGTGCAAACTCCACACAGACGGTTGCCCGAGGGTGGAATCGAACCTGGGTTGTGAGGCAGAAGTGCTAGTCACTGAGCCACCGTGCCACCCAAATAGCATAATGTATATACCTCTATGTCACTCAAAAATGAAATGATATTGGATCTAATTGAATTGGACAGGGTAAAATAAAGGTCAGTTATGCGTTGCATTCCGAAATAGGATTAGAAGGATAGTATTTTAGTGTCACGACTGAAGCCACTTAGCAGGAAGCAGATGAGATGTACCAAAACTTGGTTTGGTAGATTATGCAGGAGGGAGAATTTCATATTTGTAGGGAAATTTATGGGTTCTATGGGAGGCAAGGTGTTCATGCAGGATCTCTTCCATAAAACTAAAAGGTGCTAATGTTCATCCAGAGAGAATGAAGACAGCAGTGTGGGAGGATTTAAACTAGTGAAATGGACAGAGATTAACGATAAGTACAAAAATAATTAAAAGCAGTTCAGAGTAATAAACAAAATTAGTTATAAACAGATAATGTGGTGATATCCCTCAAGTTATGCTGTGAACTACATTTAATAATCTAAATCGCTGTCTGGTTATGAACAATGTTAAAAACATTGAAAGAAAGAATAAGCAAAAAGCACACAAAAGTCAAAGAATTGTTAAATCCGAGAAGAAGACCATTTGGCCTGGCATGCTCGTGCCAAATCTCTGTAAAAGGCATTCACACAGTGCCACAACCCTGAAAATCTTTCCTTTTCAGGTAAATGATCAAGTTCAGTTTTGAAAGGCTGAATTGACTTTGCAACCCAATATACCCAGGCAATGCATTCCAGATCCTAATCACTCGTTTTGTTTTCCTCTCGTATTGCCATTCTTTCTTTGCCAATCATCTTAACTCTATGTTGAACTTATTTGAACAATTTCTCCATGCCCACTCTGTTCATTGCCCACATGATTTTGAATACTTTTTGTTATAAACACATGATTATGGTGTAACTAATGATGTTATTCTGACCTCACAGCAGGACAGAGTAGATCAAAGATGAGACCAGAGAGGAGAATGTGCAGCTAGTTCTGAAGCACAAGTCCTCAGTACATCTGCTGGAATATTGTCGAGGCCCATAGCCTTTATAGTATCCAGTGCCTTCAGCCCATTTTGATATCTCATGGAGTGAATCGTTTTGGCCTCCTCTGAGGTCCCTTGCATTAGAGAAGTAGTCTTCAGCCAAGTTGGGTTATTCACTCAATACCTCTGGCTGAAGATGAACACAGATACTTCAGCCTTGACTCTTGCACTGATATGCTGGGCTCTGTCCTCAGTGAGGATGAGGATATTTGTGGGGCCCTCACCTCCAGTTAGTTGATTAATTGTACACCACCATTCGTGGTTGGATGTGGCAGGACAGGTTGGCTGTACTGAAAGACTAATAAGCCACCAATCTAATGCCACTTCCTTATATATTTGTAATCCGTTAATTATCTCACCTATCTCCTATCACTGTGACTGGGGCAGCATCTTCCTTGGTAAAGATAGATGCACAGTACTTGTTTAGTGTCTCAGCCTCATTCAAAATCCCCTTTTAGATATGTAATCAGCCTCACTCTTCCTTTAACCACCCTTTTACTATTTTTTTTGCCAGTAGAAAACTTCTGTGTTCCTTTTTATGTAAATGGCCAGTCTCTTTCCATCCTCTTTGCTGCCCTAACTTCTTTTTTCAATTTCTGTCTAAACTTTTTATGTTAAGCCTGTTTCACAATTGCCTTTTCCATCTCACATTTGTCACATGCACCTTTTATCTGCTTCCTTTTCAATCCATCTCTTTTGTCATTCGGGGAGCTCTAGATTTGTCTGCCCTACCTTTCCCCATCATGCAAATGTACTTTGATGCAACTTGAACTTTCTCCTCTTTAAAGGCAGCCCATTGTTCATTTCGAGTTTTCCATGTCAATCTTTGATTCTTTTGCAGAGTTATATGGAGGACCAGGGTTGCAGTACTTATCTACAGCACATTAGAAATGAAGTAAATTTAGAAGGGAACTACATTTTCAACAAGTAGTTTAGAAGTGAAAATTTAAAGATGAACTCTCTTGTTGAGAGCCATTTAAAAAAAAATGTTTCCTGTAACTTAGATGGTATTTATTCATGGGCATTAGGACTCGAAAACAAACTAGTAAATAATAGACAGAAATGAGGATAAAATTTGTGAGAAATTTAGCGAGGTTTGTATGGGCAGCAGAATTTTAATTATTCTTGGGTTGTGGTAGGTGCACCCTTGTGGACTGAGATTGTCTTGGGATGGTAATGGGATGTATTCTTGGAATGCATCTGGGATTTTTGGCTCTACACCAGGCAAAAGGTTTACAGTTTTAGAGAGGACACAGGAGAGAACATCTAGAATAATACCCAAACATGTGTTGCTTTGGACAGGTGTTAATAGTTTTATATGCGTTGGAGGGGCATTGGCAATTCAGTACAACTGCAGGGGTTGATTGCACAGGTTATAGCATGAGAAAGCACAAGTAAAAAATCCTGAAGCAAAGAGATTGCTGAGATTCCAGGACGTATTTGTTTTCACAGGCTTGTCGCCCTTTGGAACAGTGTGTCAAAATATGTTGGATGTGGATCTCCAGATGCTGTCTAAAATGGAACTTGTCATTCCTTGAGAGAAGTTGATATTTCAAATTAGTTATAATTTAACGTGGTCCCCTGAAGTTTTGCTTATTTGCCTTTAGGAAGAGAAGAGGACCTTAGCAGTGCTTTTCCTCGTAAAGTCATAGGGCTTTTCCTGATAAGGCCATAGTGTTGCTGACAGTTTAAATGACATTAATGGACCTGATAGTTTTGCTTGTCCCTTTCTTAAATCCTGGCCTACTCATCTGCAGATTATATTTGACGGTGCATTTAGAGGAGTGTAAGATGTAACTGGTAATGTATAATGAACTAAATGTAGAAATGTCATGTATTTCAAACAGGGTTTAATATGGTCCATATGGTTGTCTGTTTGTTTCAGTTTAATTAATCCTGACTTTGAAGAATCCACAACAAAACCCATTCTTTGTAGAAGACCAAAAAAGCGCAAAATTATAAATGAGGATGATTTTGAAGAGGGCGTGCATAATTATCTTGAACAAGAAAAAGGTACAAAGTTGATTTTGTTTTTTGCAGTTTTATAGTTTCCAACTGTATGACGTTCTATCTCCTTTAAAGCATGAATGATTTGTCAGTCAGTTTCGCTTTTGTCCCTTTGCATTTAAGGAATGAATATGTACTATAATGCAAGTACTATGGATATTAATTAGAAAGTGCGTTCTTTTTTGTTTTACTTGTGTGTATAGGATACAGATGAGTGAATGTATTCAAAAATACTCGATATAAAATAGAAAAATATGCGGGTACTCAGCAGGTCCGAAAGCATTTGAGGGGAGAGAAATAGTTAACATTTTCTGTGACCTTGATTAACCAGGAAAGGTTAAAAATATAGTAGGTTTTGAAGAGTGGAAACTGACAAAAAGAATGAAGACTGTGATGGGGTGGATGACCAGAACGATTACGTGACAAGAGGGTTGTGGTGCAGGGCAAAAGGGAAATGGTAATGGGACAAGCAAAGAAGCAAACTGTGTCTGGAGAAGTTGTGAATGGCCACATCATGAAGCTCTTCTGTCTGAAAGCGAAGGGTAAAGAAAAGGAGGAGCAAGAGATTATAAATAAACCAACAAAGAAAATGGGAGCAAAATGTGGACAGGGGTTACAAGCTCAAGTTGTTAAATCCAACATGAAGTTGAAGTCTTTTTTTTAATGCAGCTTGAATTGAACCTCTTTGCGAATACCGAAGGAGGCTAAAGGCAGAAAGGTCGGAGTAGGGAAAAGAAATTAAAAATTAAGGAATTAAAATGACAGGTTATTTTAAACTCATTGTTATGCTTGCATACTGAACAGCGATTTTCCTCAAAGCAGTCAACAATCTTCCCACAGTAAAGTAGAGTGCATTGTGATTCTTGAATCCAATATAATAAATTGAAAGAAATACAACAAAATCACTGTCCTAACTGGAAGGATTGTTTGAAGCCTTGGCAGATAGAAAAAAGGGCAGGTGTTTTACACACTGCTTGGATGAAAGGGTGCTTTGGGAAGTGGCAAGGCTGTTACAAGTGAGTGACAAAGTGTATCAGCGTGTCAAGGAGGGTTTGGTTCCTTCAGAATGCTGGAAGGGTAAGATGTGTTCAGTTGGGCTATCACCCAGAAAATGGAGGAAACGGCAGGGGACAAAAATAAAGTTGCTGGAAACGCTCAGCAGGTCTGGCAGCATCTGTGAAGGCAAAAACAGAGTTAATGTTTCGGGTCTGGTAACCCTTCCTTAGGTCTATGCATATCACAAATGTCTCTATGCTCAATTGTTTCTCTGTTAATAAAACAATTGTTTCTTCTTTTCCAAAAGAATTAGAAGAAATTGAAAGAACTGAGCCAGTTGAAAAGACTTCAGGACTGACGGACATTTCACGTATAGTTGGGTAACAAAGAGCTGTTTCTTTTAACGTTAATGTGATTTTTATAATGTGATTCATTCTATATTTATCGATGACTTGCAGACAAAATTCCATGATGACTCACTTTTCTGTAGAACATTGTGACTTAGTGGAATTGATAATACAAAATGAAAAATAACTTCATATCAATAAATGTTGCCAATTGTGGAATATTGGGACTTTGGTTGAACTTGCCATAGTACAGTGGTTCTGTTTGTAGACAAGTTATTATGTTGCAGACCATTCACAATCAATCATTTTCTATTAATCCCATGTTAGCATTTGCAAATTTCTTTTTTATGGGAAAGAAACCATTTAAGTTCATGGCGTAATGAGAGTATTGCACTGATCCTGCCTCCAATTGAATATAGTTGTTCTAAAATCACAGAATTCCTACGGAAAAAAGCAATTTGGCCCATTGAGTCTGCGCTGCCCCTCTGAACAGCATCCCACTAGACCCAGCTCCCCCACTCTATCTCCATGTTCCCACGTTTATCATGGCTAATCCATCTAGACTGTATATCCCTCGACACTACAGGGCAATTTAGCATGGTTAATCCACCTGATCTGTACATCTTTGGACCATGGGAGGAAAGCAGAGCACCAAGTGGAAATCCATGCAGACATGGAGAGAACATGCCAACTCCACACAGACAGGCACCCAAGGCTGAAATTGACCCTATAACCCTGTGAATCGAGCCCAGCTAACCATTGTGCCACTTCTGTTGGTCCTAATTATTTCCTCATTCTGAAAAAAATTTGATCAACCTGTTATGACACATCTCTAGAGCAGACGGAACTTCTGGTCCATAACTATGGACACTATCACCGCAACACAAGACATTGCTCATTCTATGCAGACAAATATGTAACAATTGGCTGTGTATACTGCAAACGGCACCTTCAGGTGGAATAAAAAGCATGCACACACAAAAGGTACTCTCTGTCAATCTGAGCTGATGGACAGCAGCAGCTGATCTCAATGGTGGTGCTGCAGAAAGCACTTAGGAAACAGATTCAGCCCAAAATTCTATGTGAACCACAACTCTGGGAGACGGAGGCTGGGACAAATGAAGCAGACCTTCTGCTTTGGCAGTGTCTGCAGGGTTGGTCACCTCAGCTGCTGTCCCTTCACTGTACTCACCCCTTAGTCTCCTTTCTGCAGGTACAACAGGTAATTAAGAAGGCAAATGGAATTTTGTCCTTCATTGCAAGAGGAATTGAGTTTAAAAGCAGGGAGGTTATGTTACAGAGATAGTAGGAACTGCAGATGCTGGAGAATCCGAGACAACAAGGTGCAGGGCTGGATGAACACAGCAGGCCAAGCAGCATCATAGGAGCAGAGAGGCTGACGTTTCGGGCC